GTCTTCCCTGGGGATCCGCTTGATTCCTTGCATCTGTTCTGTAGTAGATGACACCTTGGAGAGCCCTTCCTGACCCCCATCTAAAGTAACAGGCCCTACCACAATTGTCCCCTCTTGCTTCAAAGCACTGCTCTCTGTTTGACCATAGGGCCTAGGGTGTATTCATCTCTCACTAATATTTGTTAAGTAAAAGAATCTGATGAGGACACTGGAATGTAAATCCAGGCTTCCTGGCCCAACTACTCCATCCCCCACTCATCATGAGGAGCTGTAGCCGAAAGGTTAAGGGCAAACCAGGAGCAGGTAGGTTTCCAGATTTCATTCTTGGACTAGCTCTTAACCTTTCCATCACATGTCAAGGCAGCTTAGTAACAGAAGGGAGAAGCTCTGAGAAATGCCTAATAAGAAAGGCTGGGACCTGGCTGCAAGTCAGCCTGGCTGGCTGGCACTCAGCTCAGCGCCGTCCCAGGGCTGCTTTTCTCCTCCTTCCCTCCCCTCCAATTCTTGGCGCCCACGCTTTCATTTTAGCTCTTTCCTTCGTCTTCTGTTTTATGTTTTTGGCAACAGAGGATGCAGATTTAAATCAAAAGTCAGAAGTTTAGATCATTCTGAAGAGCTGCTGATGAGTGGTGTTGCCTTGTCATTTGTTTTGTTAGACTGCTTCCTGCCCTTCCCTGCATGGTCTAAAAGCTCCGTGCAGCTGGGAAGAGTGATGGGGCTGCCAGGGTGCTGCCCAGAGGCCCAGGCCTTCCTGATGACATTGCATTATGGAAAAGCTGTAATACCATTCTGCTCTTTGGTCTCCTTCTTAATCACACAGGGGACAGGAGTGGAGGTGGGAGATGAATGTCTCCTAGTCTGCCCTGTTCTCCTGGTGGTGGGTAGCAGTGAGGAGGTCAGATCCACTGATGTGGTAATGACCCATGCTTGCTCCTCCACATTACTCGCCTTGAGGACCAAGTTAGAGTTCTCATGGGACAGATGAGGAAACTGAGGTAGAGGAGATGCTTAGCAAATCTATCAGCATATGGGGCACCCTATGACCAAAGGAAGGACCTGTATGAGAACCTGTGACCCTGGCATGGTCAAGCCCCCACCATCCCCTCACATTCCCCATTTGCTCTGTGTGTCTTTGTTTCTTCCTTATTAAGTCAAATATCAATTTGATATGAGCCTTATGCAGAAAGAGGTTCTCCTCAAACTCATTTCCTCTTTCTACACACACTGTTAAACTACATGTCAAAGCCTTGCCGATGGAATGTAGATGTGCCTTCTCCATGTCATCTAACTTTTACTTGTCAGCAATAGCCTGTGGATGGTGTTTGAAGATGGTGGTGTCCAATGATGGAAGGAGATTGGGTCCCTGGATGACTGTGTGGAGCAGAGGCTGTCTGCCAGTGTTAGAGACCTTGGATTATAATGTTACACTACTGATATTTGGAGATGGTTATTACCTAGTCTAACTCTGACTAATACCTGCATATTTCTTTCTTTTTTTTTTTTTTTTGAGACAGAGCCTCAAGCTGTCCCCCTGGGTAGAGTGTCGTGGCATTACAGCTCACAGCAACCTCCAACTCCTGGGCTCAAGCGAGTCTCCTGCCTCCGCCTCCCAAGTAGCTGGGACCACAGGCGCCCGCCACAACGCCCGGCTATTTTTTGGTTGCAACCGTCATTGTTGTTTGGCGGGTCCAGGCTGGGGATTCGAACCTGCCACCTTAGGTGTACGTGGCTGGCGCCTTAGCCGGTTGAGCTATAGGCGCCGAGCTCTGCATATTTCTTAATTCAAAAATGAAACAAGCTACCCAGTTTGGGTAAGGGAGATCAGCCAAGAGGCTCTTACAGTCTTCCAGGCAAGAGGGAGAAGTAAGGGTGGAAGGTTCAGAGGTTCTTTCTAGTTCTTACTTTCTGGGATTTATCCATTTCCATCTTAATCTGTCTTGGTGCCCAAGTGCATCAGCCCCCTATGGCCAACCCAGATCACTTGCTATTCTCTGAGTAGAATGCTTGATTCCCCATTCCAAGCTTGTCAATTCGTATCCTGGAAAGGCTTCTATTCTTCATCACCTTTCAGACTCCCTCTCAAGGAACAATGCAAACACCACCTCTGTAATCACCCATGCAGCAGTGAGCCCTTACTGCCTGCCCTTCTGGGGTATCACTCTACACAGCTGAGCATCCCTGTTAAAGCACCCATGATATTTTCATAAGGGAGTCTTAACTCTCTTGTTAAATTATGAGGTTATTAACAATAACAGCATGATCCTCACACTTTCTTTTGTCCTATATAGGCCCTACCGCTGTGCTGTATATACCAGGCACTTGGTAGATATTTGGTAGATGGACAGACAGAAGGAAGGCAGGCAGGCAGACTAATGAAGTCATAAACAATGAATGAGCTACTTGACAAGATTTTTAAGTGTCTCCACCATCTGGGTCCACTTCATTTCTTTTCATTTCTACTAGTCTCAATCACAAAACCCCCATTCTGAATGGGTTAGTCTGTCCCTAGACTCCTGAGCATGTGGGACTCTTCTTTCTCTCATCCCCTTCCTTCCCTTCCCCCCCTCCCCTCACTAATCTCCCAGCTTCTCTCCACTCCTGTCACCCTCCAGGGCCCAGATGAAGTCCCCCCTCCCAATAATTTCTGCAATGACTCTGCTCTCAGTGAACCTCTTCCAACTTTAAATCATAGAGTTAATCAACTGACCACACAGATTAATCCTCAGGATCACTGGGTATTGTCTTGTGTGGGTTTTTGTCAGTTCATGTGTGTAATTCTTGTCTCTTCAATTAGAATCAAGCTCCCCAAGAACTGTATCTTCCACAGCATGAACAAAGAGATCAGCATAGAATCACTGTTCAGGGGACACCTGCCAACTGCCAGACGACTTAGGGCTCCCTCACTCCTTTTGCTATGTTCAAATAAACTCAAAAATTGGAGACCAAAAACATCCATACCCCATCATTCTTTTCTTTCCATGCTTTTCTGTTCTTTTCCCTATTCCCAGATTTGACTCCACTGGATGGGCTTATTCATTTTCTGAATTCACTGGGTTTCTGAATCTGCAGAGCCACATACAAGTTTCTAGACCACAGTGACCCCTCTGAGTCTAGTAGTCCAGTAAGAATAGTCTAAAACCAGTAGCCAATTTTGTCCCCCTATTCTTTTTTACAACAAATTGTAATTTTGTCAGGGACATCTTCAGAAGGCTGATGATTTAGAAAGGAGGAAGAAGTCCTCATACATGAAGAGTACCATGGGGTGAAGGAATGGCCAAAAGAGGTGGCACCACATAGGCGGGAATTAGGACCCAGACCGTGGAGAACAGTTGTAGCACGGTTAGTGTTGTGGGTATGGAAGCCCTAAAAGACTTGCATTCCAGCTGACCATCTGGCAAGTCCCACAACTCCCAGGGCTGACAATGGGTGGAGGAATGAGAAGCTAAGCCGGGGAGCTTGGGACTTGATTGTTGTGATTCCAGATTCTCAAGCAAGGAAGTAGCCCAGAAAAAGCAGCATTTAGGGCTCTGTTTTGTCCTTAGCAAAATATGTAGTTTTTGGCTGACTCCCTTTTGCCCTCCACATGCCTTGACTCAACTCTCCTACCATGGGCACAAAGCATGTAAATTAATTACATCATTGCCTCAGCCAAACATAATTTGGGAAATTAACCTACTTTGAAGTCTACGTAGCATATTTCAAAATAAACAAAAGTTTTTTATTATCCAGATCATCTTTTCCTTCTTTTAGTGTGGACTTTGGAAAGTTGATGGTAATTATCCATGGGAATCCAAAAATACTTTTACATTGTATGAGGTTCAGATGAAAAGACCACTTACTTCTCAGGTCTGGTTCCTGCCTTGCAGATACATGCAAATGTTTTATAAGCCACCGTTTCCACCCGAGTTCCCTGAAGGATTATAGGAAATTGGTGAACTGTTCTTGTTGTGTACTCTAGTCACTTATAAATTGGAACTGCTATACAGTGTGATCAGAATAAACAAATGGAAAGGGTAATAAGGCACACCAACAATCACTGGTGACCTCAGCAATTTTATTAACAAATTTATTTCCCTAATTGGGTAACGTATCTCAGTGCTTGACTCAAGGGCATTGTAATAGGTTTCCATACTGCAGAAGAAGGAATTAATCAGCACTGTTTGTTCTTACTCCATATTTACGCTTGTCCACCAGTCTTGTAAACATCGCCCCTAGTTTCCTCAGTCCTCCAGCTTCTTCTGACCCTCCTCACCCACCCCCAAAATAATAGAAAGCGAAGAGTGTAGTTTAATATCAGTGGCTTCTCCTCACATGCATCCCAACCCCACTGGAAGCTGCATTTCATGGTCAGAATGTGGTAGAATCATCACTATCAATAGGTATTCAGAAGTCTGTAAAGAGACCCTCATCTCTGTAGGCACACATGGAGGACCTGGGGTCTTGCTTTGCCTGTGCTCATGCCTGGGCTTGTCCTTGTCCACTTAGAACCTGGGTATAGGAAGGTGAGGTGGGGCAAATCTGTTCCACTTCGTCCTGCCCAATTTAGAACTCCTCTTAGGAAGATAAGAGGCTCTGTCTGCCCTTGGAGCAGGCAGCACATACAAGGAGAAAAACCATGAACTTATGAACTCACTCTTCAAGGCTACTTCAAGTAAGGTTTTTTCCCCTCACCGCTTGCAAGTAGTGCAGCATGACAACAAAAGAGCATTTTCAGATGCAGATACTCAGAATCTCACTGCCATGCTGCCCCCTCCAATGTACTCCAAACTGGTGCCACTTTATCCACACTGTCTGATCTGTGAGGGTCAGCATTAGAGCAGGATGCCAGCGCTGATTTTGTTAACAGCTGTAATATAGCCAGCCTGCCATGTGTGGGATGGCTTTTGAGGGTAGATATGACTATTACAAAGACATATAAGGGTGTTTAGACTATCCTAGTTACCAATAGGTCCCTTTTTGAGATCTGTAGCCCAGAAAACTCCAGATAAACACAAGAAGTTTCATTGTCCCTCGTGGATATCTTGCAGGATCCTGATGAGGTTTTCAAGGCCAAAAATGTAGCCAGAGTCTGGTCCATCATAGGTGGTGTGCTCATTCCAGGAGCCCTTGTATGTTGTGTGAGCAAAGTCAATCATGCGGATGTCCACCTTGGCGAGACCCCTGGGAGAGCTGCTGTGGGTCACCTGGGGAGCCTCCTGGGGATGCAGGCTGCCTGAGGTTCTTTCTGATGGCTCCTGCCCTTCATAGATGATGAGGAGAGAGCTGGAATAGAACCGGTATGAACTCTGGCTCCTTATGACGGAGAGGAGGGCCTGCAGCTGGCTCAGGATGGGCCCCAGGAGCTCCACGCGGAGGCGGGTTCCATCATGCAGGAACTGATAGAGGGCTTGTCTGAACCCCTCCACTGAGAGTTTTCTTCCATAGTACTTATCTTTGCAGAGAAAGTGCTTCTTATCCGTTTGATAAACCTTATATTAAAAAGAAAAAATGAAATATGAAAAATTACAAACTTAAAAAAAGTTGCATGTGGTATGGTTGCAGTGTCACAAGCTAGGATGACCCAGGAATGATGTCTAAGAAATGTAGTGCAGGGTGACTGACATGAGTAGGAGATGACCCTCCGTTAAGCACAAGTGCAGCATTTACACTTTAAAATGCTCTCTGTGCAGATCTTGACAGTAATCCTAGGACTAAAGATCCTTCATCCTACAGAGGTGATTTTCCTACGAGGAAAATGTTTGAATCTCCTTGCTTGTGAATTTCCAATGTCAACGTCCAAATCATGATTTAAGCCCTGGCTTCTGGCCCTCTTCAACTCAAATATTAGCAGCCCAAGCTAGAAAGCTTTAGTAGGAATCTGAAATCACGGCCAATGGCCTTGGGAAGCCAATTAGATTATATTTTCCCAACAAAGTTTATAAAGTCCTTTCTCTGCAGATTCCAAGGAAATAGTACTGGCTCTTGAGGTGGAGTGAGGTGAATTGTTTGAAGATAAAAAGACAGACTATGTCTGATGTGGACAGAGTAGCCAGTGCAGCTGAGGGGAGCCTGGACAGAGGAGGGTGGTTCATAGCAGCTCTGTGGGGCTGGTGGCTCCTCTCCTTGGCACTATCTCCCCTCCCCTCCCCTATCATGTCTTGGCCACCAGAAGGGAGCAGATGGAAGAGAGATACTGATGGGGGCATGGTGACAGCCACCCCCATTTCATTCAGATGGCACGGGCAGCAGCAGAAGCTGAACCAAGGCCAGTGGAGGCATGGCCAGAGGGGGACTTGGCACCCCTCTGCCTGGCACACCTGGAAGGGCTGCCCATACCTGGCCAAGACAGTTTCTCTGGTCTCTCCTGCCTTCAGAGTACATGATATGTTTACAGAAAACCAGTGTTGAAAAAAATCAGAAAGAAATGATAGAATTTGTGTTGCTTTGGGGGAGCTGAAGATTGGCTGCTAAATTAGCCATCGTAAATACATGACAGGCATCACTTTCTAAATAAATCAGATCAATTTCAGAAGATTTGAGGTCCAGAGAGAGATTCCATTTACACCACAAATCATCATACTCTATTCTCTTGAGGACTGCATTCCAAGCTTTCCGAGGGACATCTATACAACAAATTTATAGACTTAACTTCCAGCTTCAAGGGGTGGCAGTTTCAATTAAGGAAAGCTATAACATTTACCATCAAAAAGGTGTCTGGTTTTGCTTTGAGTAGACGGACTATAAGAGGGAATGAATGGAGAAAGTTTATTTCCTCCTGTTTTCCTGCAGCCCCTGCCATAAACTATATCAGAGCAGCAAAAATGAGGTGTGGAGTATGAGCAATAAGAAAATAACTATTCCTTTGCATGGATTAGCAGGTTATGACTTTCCCATTTTGTTAATTAAAACAGGTAACAAAAAGAAGTAGAAAAAGTGGATTAAGAAGAGGAAATGGGCCAGGTACAGTGGCTCATGCCTGTAATCCTAGCAGTTTGGGAGGCCAGGAGTTTGGGATCAGCTTGAACAACATAGCAAGACCTGAGCTCTACAAAATATAAAAAATTAGCTGGGCATTTTGGTGTACACCTTTAGTCCCAGCTACTCGGGAGGGTGAGGTGGGAGGATGGCTTGAGCCTAGGTTGCAGTAAGCTGTGATGACACCACTGCACTCCTCTAGCCCAGGCAACACAGCAAGACCCTATCTAAAAGAAAAAACAGGAAATGGCTAATAAGAATTCAAAGAGCAGACTGCCATACAGAATCTGAGGAGAGGATTCAGCTTTATCATTTAAGAGAATGAGGATGCAGGAAGCCCAGATGCACCGAGGAACTCTTTCCCTTGGCTCTTCTCCAGCCCCTCCAGTGCTATCCTGAAGGTGTTCTTGAAAGAACCCAGTATGCCATAGACCAAGAAAGGCACTTCTCTGCTGACAGACTGGTTCCTGGCTCCTCCTCTGTTTTCCCCCAAAGTGAAGGGCTCTTTAGGGACAGTGGCATCTGGGTGGGAGACCTCATGCTGCAGTGAACACACCAAGACATTGCCCCTGTGGGGGGCCCTCGGTGACCTACCTGCATGCCGCAGATGCGCACGCCCAGGCGGGCCGAGGTACTTTGTGCACACTTCTTCATGTGGCGGGCCTTCTTCTCCTCAGACGCGTCATCCCCGTGCTGCCGGGTCCCCATCTTCAGGTCCAGGACACAGGGATGCGTGTACTGTGACACTACGTTTTCCAGCAACAGGAATCCTAGTCATATTGAGTCAAGAAAGCTGATAGCACCCCTGGAAGCTGCCCAGAAATTCCCTATTCAGGGATCCCTCCTTCACTCCCATTCCTTTGTTACAGGACAAGCTTGTCCTTGCTAGTAAGAATTCAAGGTATTAGCTTTGGAGGCTGCTTTAATAAGTTCATTTATTTAGGGGGAGTTGATGAGTGTGTGAGTTTTTTCTTTTCCCATGTGCTCTGAGGTTGAAATTTAAATGCAGGCGTGAAATCCCTGGCAGGCCAGGTCCAATTTACGTTTTATGGCAGAAAATTGTAAGGCCAAACCTCCAGTCACTGAATGAACCAATACCTTTTGGGAGAAGTGGATTGATGTTAGCTTTGGAGATGAGTTGCAGGAATATTAATTTCAGTGGAGTAATTATCCTGCAAAAGCTGCTTAGGGATTAGGCTTGCAGATGTGTCTTAGTAAATACTGTGAAACCAGCAGCACAGTGGCAAAGGGACATTTCAAACCTAAATTTGCTCTCTGGCAGCCTGTGGAGGAAGGGAGCCCACTTCCTCTCAGAGTCCATCCCTGGGATACTACCCCATGGAAGTGGCTTCTGGGAGGAATTTGGCAGGACAGATGGGAGGTTGGGGCTGGGGATCCATCTAGCCCTCTGAGCTCCCTGCTGCTCCTACCTAATGTGGCATAATCATTCCTGTCTGACAACAGCGACCCTCGACCCTCCCTCGACCCTCCCTCGACCCTCGTCCCATCTCCTCCTTACTGCCCAGGTGGCAGGGTCACTGTGTTTGACTCAATCCTCAGTCTGACTTCCCCAAGCTTTCTGAGTTTTCTTTTTTTTTTTTTTTTTCAGTTTTGGAAGGGGCTGGGTTTGAACCCACCACCTCCAGCATGTGGAGCTGGTGCCCTCCTCGTTTGAGCCATAGGCACCACCCTCTCTCTGGGCTTTCTTTTGGCAGGATCTGATTTCTTCTCAGTCCCAGGTTTGAGGGCTGTGTCTCATATGTGTCTGGCCCTCCCTGCCCACCCCTCCCTGGCTGTGTGCCTATCTGCTTCCCTCCTCCACCCCCCCCCCACACACTCCCATATATCTCTCTGTCTCTCTGTCCTTGCCTTGGGACTACATGTTTTGGGGAGGGTGGGCAAGGATACGGTGCCGCTTGTTCTCGGGGAACTCGGAGGACAGGCGGGTCAGGTGGGCCTGGTGGCAGTGCAGGCCCCATGGGTTAAAGCTCTTCTTTTCCACCTGGTTCCCGTTAACATCTTCGTCCACCAACAAGGAGACTTGAGTGTTGGGGTGGGACTGGGGCCTCAGGGGTACCTTCATTGGGCTGTGGCTGGCAGGAGCACATGACGGTCAGGGAGTGAGGGCCGCAGGTCTGGGGAGGGTGCCTGTGGCTGTGACTGACTGGGGCTCTCTGGGATGGGCTCTGACAGGGCTGTCCCCAGCTGCTCCCCCTGGCAGCTCTCACCAGGGTACTGGAAGACACTGTGGGTCCTGAAGTGCCCTCCCTCTCCAACTCCGGTCCCTGGGATCAGACCACACCACACTGCAGCCCTTTCAGGGTTCTCTAAACCCCAGAATAACTCATTAGAATGTGTCACCCCATCAAAGGGCTGAGGTGATTTCAATTCACTTGTGAGTGATCTGGATTATTAGTCATCTTCCTGTTGAGGTGACATGGAATGGCAGAAAAACCCCATTCACAATCACAAGGCTGGCTGAGACTCTAATATTCTGGCAGGTCGCTACCTCCTCAAGACCTCAAAATGCTACAGGGAGAGGGGTGAAGGTGGGCTGGGGAGCCCCAGAACCCTGATACACCCCCTTTCTCCTGCCTTCTCTGCATCATCTTGGCTTCCCCATCTGTGAAATGGAGATAGTGTGCCCTGCTTCCTGATGCCGAGCCAAGAGGCTTAATTAGATCCACCGCACTCCTTAGGGAGGGGAGGTATTTTCATTGTATTAGCTCCCTTTTGTTTTCCTTAAATGTTTTAAGAATCTCTAGGGACCTTTTTTATCCAAGAAAGGTCAGATGACATTGTCAGAGGTTTTGGAGCCTTCTCCAAGGACCTCCGGGATGCTGTGAGCTGCACGGACTTCCCTCCCTCCTCATTGCGCCCCAACTGTTAAGGAAAGAGATGTTTTTTGAGAGCAATTAGCCACACTATTCCTTTACATAAGCTATTCTAGGGTTTCTGCTCTGCACACTTCTCCCTCAGAGACACTTGATGGTCTCAGTGAAACAGGTATTTAATTAAACAAATATGTACCAAATATCTACCCTGTATAGAACTCTGCTTGTGCATCAGCTTCTGAGATAAAACGCACCGTAATCCTCTTTCTAGAAGTGGCATAAAAGGAAATCCATTCCTTTCTTTGGTCACACTGGTTATTCTAGACAGAGCCTTCCTCTGAATTTCTCATTTTCTTTGAACCAGCCCTAATGGGGAGGGTTGGCCTTGGGCATGGGTGGGAGCAGTGCCAGGTGTCATCCTGTGTGGTAGCCCTCACCTCTCCTTGGGTGAGCATGCCAGCTGGGCGAGGACACAGGTGCTGCCACTACCACTGGTGGTCTGCTGGAGTGTCTGCCAGATGGCCACCGCCGCCGACTCTGTGGAGACCTTGAAGGGCTCCTGATTCTCCTTCAGTGGGTTGGCCACCAGGCTGAGATGGCCCTGGCTATCTTTCCAGAGGTGCACTGTGACAGTTCCTGCAGAACATACAGGGAAGGGAAGAGAAACCAAGTGAGATGGGCCTCTAAGCGGACACATGCCAGTGGGTGACAGCCTTGGGAATTCAGTTGAATGGCATGGGTCAACCTCTCCCTTCCCTAACTCCTCACTCAATAAAGAGCTATGGAACTGACCTGGTTTTACCTGCACTTGATCCTATTCCAGAATGAGTCCAGAGCCTGGAAACCTTCAGAAAATAGCCTTGGGCTATCTCGGCACATCCTCTGCTTTATCCCACTTCTGTGCTCCTTCAGGCTTTAAGCAAAGCCAGACCTGCACTGTGGTTATTGAATTCTAGTTCCTCTCAGTGGTCACACCTTCCCAGTCACACCACAGCCACCCAACTGTGCCCAACTTGGGGGGCATCAGAGCTGATCCTCCCACCTGGGAGTGGCAGTGAGGGAAGTTGGGGCCCATCCCACTTCTCCCCCTTACCCTCTGCCTCCTCCCCATCCTTCCTTTCCCTTCCCTTTATCTCTATTTGACCACTCTGTTCCAGGAAGCCTCCCTCAGAGGCATTCTGGGGCAGGACTCTGTGTTGCCCCTTCCTTCACCCTCCCTCGTCTTTTTGCCTTTCACGCTGGTGCTCGTCCTCATCCTCTGGTCAGATATATGGGCACATGAAGGTCACTAGTTGGAACATGTTCTTTGGCAAAATAGGAGACTTGTGAGATTTCTCCAACTATGGTGCCTCCTATGATTGGTGTTTGTAATCAAGGCACAAACGCAACTGGATCTGAAAGTAGAGGCTACTAGGAAACCCTTTAACAAGAGTGCAAATGGGTGTTCTCCTCCTCCTCCAAAGCATTGGCCAGGCTGGGTAATTAGCTGTGTCCCATTAACAGCTCTGTGGTCACCCTTTAGATTCCTGCTAGGGTGGCAGAGCCTAAGCCTTTCTCTACCAGGTGTGGCATCCAGATGATACCCAGCCTCCCTTGCTCCCGGGTGGTGGCCCAAGAGATGGCCACATGGGTGGTTTTTGTTCATGCCTCCTCCCCTGGTCCCCTCTCCCCCCAAGCATTAATCCACTGTCACCCTGCTCTGCCCCGCTTTGTGCCTGAAGGTCTGGCCTGTGGAATATACCAATGGGCTCCCCAGTGGCTTCAGCCATTGGGGTGGGGTGCACTGACAGGAGCCGGAGAGTGGAAGGAGGAAGGTCTGGCTTTGCCCCGCTTCAGGCAGGCTGGCCTGCAGCCATATCTGCTGTGTTCCTCTGTGGCCTCCATGCTTGCTGGTGACACCACCCCCTCAGCTTGGCCCTCATGGCTTGGGGTGGTCACAGCTCTCCAGTGTTACTAGTCCCTGGCACCCTCAGCTCTGGTTGTTTCCTGAATCCTGCCTGCACTTCTGCAGATAGTTCCTCTTAAGAGTCTCTTCATTAATAGAGCATACCATCTGTCTTCTGCAGAGGCCTTGACTGAGCAAGGGTGGGCTGCATGTTTATGTCCTCCAAGGTACATATTTCCTCTCCTAGCCACTTGGTCACCTTCTCAGAGTAAATGGTAATTTCCACTGAGCAGGCTATAAAGGCAGCTATCTCCCTGCCTGTGTCTCCTCCTGGGCTGGTCGAGGCAGACACTCATTTTCAGGGCTGCTCTATAGTTCAGCAAGTTGCCCTCCAGAATCATCTGTGCCTAGCTCAGCGGTCTCCCTGGGCCAGTCCTGTCATCTCAGATTCCCAGTGCCCTAATTTTACAGCCTGCGAGTGACATTTAGTTCTCACCAGCTCCTAAAAAAACTCCACTTTTCCTTGCCCCATCCCACGTTCCTGTGTCCTCTGAAGCAATCATGATGGTAATGATAACATTGTACCCAAACCTGGCATTTTACCATTTCCCTGGCACCAGCATTCATCCCTAGGCCAAGCCCACTGTAGCTGTCCCTCTGGAGAACAGGGTCTGACAGCAGGTGGGGAAGGAATTTCTCTGTGACCTCCAGGCTTGCTGGTGACATCACCCCCTCAGCTTGGCCCACATGGCCTGGGGTGGTCACAGCTCTCTAGTGCCTTGTCTTCCCACCCCCATGTGGGGCACTATGCTGGCTACTTTTCCTTGTTCCAAGTCACAGTGCACCTGTAAGGCCACTGACGGTAGGCTCTGGGACTCAGGGAGATCGAATAACCTGCCCAAACAAGGTCACAGGTTAGAACAGGGTGGAGCTCTGAGAGGCCATCCTAGACGTGGGTATGGAAGAAGGGACAAGCTGTTACACACAGCCGGGGACTGTCTCTGGAGGGTCAGGTATCACACAGTGTTTACCCCATGTATCCATGAGGAACACTCCTGCTGTGTCCCCAGTCACATTTGCTTTGCTCATTCTGTCTGTGGGAGAAAACAGAGAGGCCATGATCCTCACTCAGGAGGGGCCATCAGCACCGAGGGCCGCAAGGACATGGGGTTTCTATCTCTGGCCCTGTGTCTTTGGGGAAGGAATGGCATAGTGCTTGTTCTGGGGAGGAGAATTGGCCTTCCTTAAACCAGCGCCAGGCCCCATAGCCCATCTGTCCTCATGAGAGAAAGGGAGAGAGCTGGCTGGCCACCCTTCCAGTCCCTTGGGAGTTCAGGAGCTCCCAGCTGCTAGTGAGCACAGAAAGGTGTGTTAGCCAGGGCAAGGCCCTCTCGGGTCTCGTGAAGTTTGAGCCATCCAGCAGCTGCTGGCCTTTCCACTCGTGAGGGTATGATGGCAGGCCTGCTAGAAACCACAGGCCTGGAAGCCCTGGGCCCAGGAGGCCCCCAGAGGGACAAGAATCATGACCTCCACCCACTCTCCAGACTCCAGCTCTTGTCTGATCTCATCAGTTCTGTGCTGGAGGAGATCAGAATGTGAATGGAGGAGAGCAGAGGTGCAAATAACCTAAAACCAATAAAATCCAAAGTCATTTCCATTTCTCATATTGTCAGAACTACACGGCCAGCCTCTGCGTCCTCTCTCTCTCTCACTCTTGCTCTGTTTCTCTGCATGCCTCTGACGACTGTGTCTGTCTCCAGCCCTGTCTCACTTTCCCTCCCTCTCTATCTCTCACACCCTCTGTCCCCAAGGCTCAGCTCAGCCCTTCCCTTCAAAGCCTGGGACCTGCGAGATATGACCCAGAGCAGACAACCCCCTTGCAAACAGTCTCAGGTTGCTGCCCTTGACACAGCAGCATGTCAGTAGAATCCAGACTCTTTGAATTGCTCTTTGAATCAAGAGCCATATGAGCTCCAGCCTGGCCTCCTGCTTGCCCTGTGTGTCCATGGGGATTAGGTGTTGGAGGGCCTGCCCTGAGTAGGAGAGTGCAAGGCCCAGCTAGAGTCCCCCTCTGGCTGCTCTCCGGCCCTGCCCACATACCTCAACCAGAGGCCGTGCCAGCTGGGCAGACAGAGTGCTTACTGCCACAATTGGCATGCCCAGAGCATCTGAGCAATTTGGTTCGGCTTCCTGAGCCTCAGTGAATGTTCTATCACGTATTTATTTTTAAGCTTATGAGAGCATTAACTCACCACTGTCTGTAATATGAATCGGCTCGACCGTTAACTAACTGGACCTGAGAGTATGTCCTCATTTGCCCACAGCTGATGGTCAGACTGGGAGGCAGAGGGATGCAGCCCCTACGTGCTTTTGTGCCTAAGGAGCCCAGCAAAAGTCCAGGCCAAGCTTCTGGCACAAGGAGTCTGTCCTTGGAATGACATCCCTTCCCAACATACCTGAAGCCATCATGGTAAAGGGCAGTGAGAAGGGAGAGGGTGTGTTCAGTGGCCGGCGGTGGCCACTTCAGATGTGGCCCCTCTCTTGGAGGGGCTGTTCCTACCAGGGAGAAAAATGGAGGCTCCTGTGGCGGCCTTGTGGGATTTGAGTCCCCCTGACCCAAGGTCATTAGCTCAGTGACCCTAAACAAGTCATGTCCCCTTCCTCTTTGGGCTAGATGACCCCCTGAGCACTGATAGCCTGAGACCACCCTTTCAGGAACAGTGTAGCTCGGTGGAGCAGGCCTGTGTGGCCAGAGCCCACACTTGGGAACTTCCAGTCCTGGCTCTGCCTCTCACTGCTGTGTGGCCTCAGGCAAGCCAGGTAACCTCTCTGTACCTTAGTTTCTTCATCTATGACACAAGAATAATAAAGGCAGCTACCTCAGCATGTTGTAAAGATTATGAGAATGAGTACATAGAAGCCACTTAGGGTCGTGGCACAGAGCACACACCCAGGGTTAGCTGATGCTGCTTTCTGATTGGACAAACAAGCAGCCTGAACAACCTGAGGTCCTTTCCAGGGATCCTTCCCATCTACAACCTGACCTCAGCGTCGTGTCTTCCTGGCTCTGCCCAGGGATCTGAGAACATGAGAATCCCGGTCTGGGCCTTTTGCTGTTGTCCCCTTAAGCGTGTGTATTCGGTTAGTTGGTACCTGGACAGTGGCACTGTGTGATCTGTGTTCTGATCAGAGTGAGTCAGCATTTCTACTTCTTCAAAGCTTCATGTGGGGTGTTGTCCAGCCCTTCCAGGGAGTGTGTGTGGTCTCAACCAGGGGGTGTCACCTGGCCCAGGTACTTCCCCAATTTAGAAACACTGGCTCCTGTGTGACTCCCCAAAGGCAGATGCTGAAGCTGATGATTCATTTAGCTATGACAACTTGGTTCCAATTAATTTGCTGACTTAGCAGAGCCCCAAGGGGGGTGACAGTGCGATGTGACTCCTACCCTTGTCAGAGGCTTGACCAAGCACAGACAGGAGCAAAGGAGGGGACCAGGGTGAGCTCCTAAAGACCAGGCTAGCCTCTTTCCCTCTCCTGCTTTGCCCTCGCTGCCCTGGCAGTCTGCTCAGCTCCAGAGCCATGTGGAACAAGCGTGAAATGCTGCTGGCAGAAGGCCTCCCCACGCACTGTCCTGACACCCTTTTGCTGGGCTGAGTTCAGTTGCGAAGGAACAGTCATTTAATTCCAGTAGGCCCTCTGACAAGATGGGCAATGACCCACAACCAGCCAGGCAATCAGCCTGAGGGCCCAAAAAAGAGGCCTGCACAGGCGGCTCTTGGCCTGTCCTACCCTGTCTCTATGTGTGATGATGATCAGCTTGTCTTCAGCTCTCAGGAGGTCCTTTGAGCTGGCCTGATGTCCAAGCATGTGTAAAACAGTGCTCAGAAGCAGGGCCCAGAGCTCAAGGCCTGGCTCCCCCACCAGTGGTTCTCAGTCTGGACCTGGTTAAATACGGATTACTGCTCTCACACCAGGGCTTCAGAGGTTCTGACTTCCAGGTCTGGAATAGGGCCTGGGAGTCTGCCCATGGGCATGTGCACCCTCCCTCCTTGATTCTGATAAAGTTGGTTTACCCTGATCATACTTTGAAAATCACCAGTGTGGATAATTCCCCTCCTCCCCAGTTATCATGATCATTGAAACATGAGTAGATATTTAACTGACTTAGTGGGATGTTATTACCTTCTCTGCAGATGAGAGAGCAGAGCTTGCAGTGGTGCAATCCTAACTGCTCTATAGAGGTCTTTTTTCTGAGTACTCATTCCACCAAAAGTGAGTATGGACAAAACAGCCAGCCCTAGGCCACTTGGCCACAGACAATTGCTCCCCACAGGGCTTCCCCTCCCCACACACCACCTTGTGCTCAGATCCAGAACCACACACTGGCCTGGTGCAGAAGTTTCCCCAGCCACACCCAGGCAGCAGCCCATTGCCCTGGCTTTGCCTCTTCCTAGATGAAGGCGGGAATTCTAGTTTCTTTAAAAAAGCTGTGTCCCAACTTCTCCATGCCCTGTCCCAGGTCCCGGACTCCTGCTTCTTGTCTAGGCCTCAAAAGTGAGATTTAAGGAGCCTGTCCTGTGTTTCTAGTCATGACACCCTCAAGGCACAGCCCAGACTGCCACCTCAGGGCCAGGTGGGACCAGGATTTTGTCTTATTTCATTCCCAATTCCTTGAAGACTAGTGTGGTGAGCCAATGTGCAGGGAAGCTGAATGGCATCAAACTCTAGACCTGGAGGCACGAAGAGTTTAGAGAAACTAGGACAGCTCTGTGGAGAGGGGCACGTATCCATGGCAACACTGCTGCACACCCACCAGGACGTGGGCTGCGTGTGGACTGGCCTGGGCCCAGTGTGGCAGCACCCAGCCGTGGCCTGGCTACCCAACTCTCACCTTTGTACTGTGGGGTGAAGCGCTTCATAGCCAGTGGCAGGGATTCGTAGAACCTCTGCTCTCGGGAGACGAGGGGCTTGCATATGGTGTGCTCGTCATATTTCATCACGCTCATGTGTCCCCCGACCTGGTGCAGGAAGGGCTCCAGCTGCACACCCACCCTGGTGTCCTTGGAGTCTGTGCTGTTCTGTACAACCATGATTCCACACAGGGAGCAGGTCACCTGGGAAATCTGTGTGAGGAGGGCGTGAGGTAGAGGCTAGCAGCAGCAGCTCCTAGACAGAATTCGAGCTGTCAGTGGTCCTCAAGTTTCTCTTTCTTGGCCTTTATTGCTGTCATGGCACAGTTGCCTTCCTGGGTGTGGACTCTCAGCGGGGCCTCTGGAAAGCAGAGGAGGAAGGTGGAAATTATGAGGAGGTGGGGGGTGGTGTGCAGGGGGGTAGTGCTCAGAAGGGCCCCCATGGACTCCAGCCTGCACCCAGAGCAGGCTCCTTTCAGGGAGCTTAAACAAGACTATAAATATGCACCGGTCACTTCTGGAATAATTTGTTAGGAGAAAATGGTAACAGTGGTTGCCTCCATGCAGCAGGGGTGCAAAGGAGACTTTAAATATCATTTTGTATCTTTTAAATTTAAATGTTAAAACATTTTTAAAAAGTCAAAAAGCACAACTGTAAGCTTCCAGAGGGTGGAGACTGTCTTAACTTCTCTTGTCACGTGACCTTCTTTCCTTTGGGAACTTTTTTTTTTTTTTTGAGACAGAGTCTCATTTTTTTGCCCTCGGAAGAGTGCTGTGACGTCATAGCTCATAGCAAACTCCAACCCCTGGGCTTAGGTGATTCTCTTGCCTCAGCCTACTAAGAACTGGTAACCTGGACTACAGGCTCCCACCACAATACCCAACTATTTTTTGTTGCAGTTTTGCCGGGCCAAACTGAGGGCTCAAACCCGCCACCCTCAGTATATGGGGCCGGCACCCTACCCACTGAGCCACAGGTGCCGCCCTTCCTTTGGAAACATTGATCCCAGGCTCAACAAGGAGTGGACAGATCCCCTGCTGTTGGGTGCTTGCTGTCTCACAGGGGCTCACTTGCAGGGCTGCAGGGGTGCTTCATTATTATATATTATGGCTACACACCAACAATTTGCATCATGGCTCCACCACATAATTGCTGTGTGACCTTTGACAAGTTACTGAGGCCTTCTCTGGGCCTCAGTTTCCCCTTCTGTAGAAGAGGATAATAATGATACCTCATGGAGTTAGGCACAGAATTGGGATAAGGCCCATGGAAAGGTTAGCCCAGTGCCCAGAGCAAAGTGTTCAATAACTGGTCTGCCATTATTATTTCTAGTGTTATTACCATAGTGGTCCTATTTTCCTAACAGCTCTGGGTTGTAGGAAAGGCAGGTCACTTTGCAAATGAGGAAACTGAGGCTTGTGATGCCTTGTCCGGGAGCAGAGCAGGAAGTATGCCCAGGGTCTCCTCTTCTCTGGGCCTGGTACCCTCCACCTCCTGCCCCTCTATATAGGGTCGGCTTCTAGATCTCAGGCAAATGCTGAAACTCTGGGCTGAAAACACAGCTCCTAATGGCATCCTGACTTAGTCTCAAGAGAGCACCAAGGAGACACTCTGAGGGGAGGCTCTCCTTGCTGTATTTGTCCTGAGAGGACATTCCCACAGTGGTGCCCGTCATCACTGAGTTATTAATACTCTTTTCCTCTGCTGGACTCCTGGTCACGGATGTGACCAGGCTGGGCATGATTAACCCTCTAATTGACCTTCAGTCCAGCCTGCAGGCATGGCTGGTCAGATCCATGCACAGTGGTGCCCATCAATTTGTTCAGGCCCTTGGCTCAGAGAGGCTCCTGCCAGCAGCCCAGGCCTCCTGTTCACCATGGCCTTGAATGCCTCAGCCTCATCTGTTCACTCCCCAAAAAGCACCTCTCTTGCATCAGCTTTTTGGCATGCCGGACAGGCAAAAACCTCCCTTAGGAAAGAGATGGAATGAGGGTTATGGGCATGTGTATCTCCTTGCAGGATGGAAAGTGAGGCTTCTGAGGCCAGCTGCAAGGCTGGAGGGTGACTGGACAGATTGGGGTTACTGGGGTGAGGGGTTGGGTTGGGAGGACTTAGGCCTGATGGTGAAGGGGCTGGCCTGAGACTGCAGCCTGCTATTAGGCAGTGCAGAACTGAGCCCCACCTGGGAGCCTGTTCTAGGATCTGAGAAAAGAAGCTGGAGGGAGGCATCTAAACTTGGAGGGAAATCAGCCCACAGATGAGCTGATACCCTCAGTTTGATAACCCTTTTGTTTTGGGAAAAGGTATCCCAGTTGCTTGGCAAACCCAATTGTATGTGCAAATTTAGAGAAGGCAAGAAGGAAGAGGGCAGAGAAGATCAAGGCAGCTGACCCTGTCATCTCACTGAGTTCACTTGCATGCCAGCCTTTACAGTTGACCTGTCCCCAGGCAGAGGCACTTCTGGTAACCAGAGGGACAGCTACTCTGCAAAATTCACTTATAGCAACTCCCGGAAGGAGGCTTGGCTCCGTTTTTCACACTTGTCTCCCCAGGGCCTAGGCCAGCACTAACCAGGCCTGGCCTTGCCAATGCCAGCCTAGTTCTGCCAGCACATCCCAGCAGGGTTGTGTGCTACTCACTGGCAATCCAATGCCCTGCTCTTTCTACCACCCGTCTCTCCAAGGAGCTCCAAGGATGTGGACAGTGGCGGCGTGGTGAGGAGATAATGGCTATAGGTGGTAGCACATACCTAGCATTTGTCATATGCCAAGCCATGCTCTTGGTGCTTTGTATGGAATAAGACATTTAAGCCTTATAAATACCCTATGAGATAGTTACCAACCTCATCCGACAGATGAGGAAACTGAAGCACAGAGAAATTAAATAACTTTCCTGTATGTACTCAGCTAGTGAGGGGAAAAGAGGGATTTGAATCCAGGCATGATAACCCCAGACTATGCTCACCTGCAATGTTGAGGAGAGGCCAAAGATTATTTTTTATCTATTTTATTTTATTTATTTTTGACATAGGGTCTAATTCTGTTGCCCTAAGTAGACTGCAGTGTCATCATCATAGCTCACTGCAACCTCCAACTCCTGGGATCAAGGGCTTTCTGGCTGGGGATGCCAGCGAGGCCTGGCACTGTCATTCGCAGCACTAAATTGGTTTTTGTTGCAACCTTGTGATCTTCTCCCACCTCTGAAGTCAGGTGTTCTTGGGATCACTGGCTGCTCCTTCTAACAGAGCACCAAGTAAGCCAGGAGGACTCCTGAGCCTCCAGCACAGCCCTGGCATGGTGATACAGACTCTCCTGCACTGGCCTGTGGTGGGTTAGCAGTGACTGGTGTATGCTGGGCAGCCAGCCTTTACTTAAAAAAATGGCAGACATGACAGCTGGGGAAACTGAGGCCCTTTCTCAAGGGTCACCTGGGGGTATAGATTAGGTGATGTCAAAGAGCCTCCTGATTCTGTGCTGTGTGGCCTGCATTTCTGACACAGGTTGGTGTAAAAGGGCAGGAGAAGTGGCTTCAGCCCCTCGAGTGCTGGCAGGAGCAGGGCAGGGTGGGCTTTGCTACTATGCGGAGGAGGTGATCTGTGGCTTCCCCTGGGCACTGATGCTGACCTCAGATTCTGAAGGAAGATTGAGGTTTTCTGTCTGTCTCTCCCTCCAGCTCTGTGGGAGGGAACCAGAGAAGAGTCCCATTTTTCCCATTCTTCCTGTACCCGGGTGTGAAAAGTCGAGGGCTAGGGTGAGCTCCAGGCATTCCCAGCACCTTGCTAAGGTCTTCGGGATGAGCTGGGCAACCGCTCTGAGTCTTGGTTTGCTGCCCACTGCCATAGCTTTGACAGTACCAGTGATTCTAAGACCTGAAGACCTCATCAATGCCAGACACAATGACAGATGCCACCTATCAAGCCGAGGTGGATGAGGGCATCATAACTTGTCACCAGCAGTTGGCACATTTTACTTGCATGATGCTCAGGAGACAAGATGCACAGGACTCCTTTGTTGAGTTCTCTTTATGAGCAGTTCCACCACCTGGGGTTGGTCACTGTGTGGATTACTCTCAGAACTGACTCCCGTTGTCAGCCTGGATGCTAGGAAGGCAGATACGGTGCCTGCCTAAGATCAGAGCTCCTGCCCCCCAGCACACTGCTGACTGCCCTGGTCTCCATTTAGTGCTTTGAAGGAGGGTAAATGTCCCTCTCTCCAGCCCATGCCTCTTCCCACAGTTGCACAGCCCAGGCTCTTGCCCCTAGCACTCATCCCTAGGAGGGAGGAAGTGGAGGAAGAAAGAAGAGAGGAAGAGAAGGGGGTGAGGTGCCCCTAGCCGGAAGAGCTTAGCTTGAAATCTGCCCACCCTACTCTGCCAGGAAGTGGACAGATGGCCCCAGGTCCCTGTGTTCTCCTGCCCTGTCTTTGGGTCATATCCTGAATAAAATAACTCTGGGCCTCACTCCAGGAGACTCCAGGGCTAATTTCTGCTGATGGGGCATGGCCATGGGCTGGTTGTTAAACGAGGCCCTGGGCTGTCTGTGTCAGTACAAACCTTGCTCTGTAGCCCCCCAGGGCCTGAGTGACAGCCTGCCTGCCGCTGGGCTGCCAGATATTCCCTAGTCTGAAAGGAGGGTCACCGACAGCAGGGTCTTGAGTATAGTTGGCTTACAGAGTGGGGACAGATGACAATACCAGTGATTCTAAGACCCGAAGACCTCATCGATGCCAGACACAATGACAGATGCCACCTATCAAGCCGAGGTGGATGAGGGCATCATAACTTGTCACCAGCAGTTGGCACATTTTACTTGCAGAGAGCCTTTGCATGTGTAACCTCTATCCACATGCTAAATCTGAATTCATTAAAAATTACAGAAGATGCATCTCTTTTAGAACTTGCCACTCCCATGTTAGGGAAGATGGGAGACGAACCACAAATCAGACTTGTAAGGGTTCAAATCCGGAATAAATTAGTCATGGATTCTGTATTAGAAAAGCCTGTCAGCTTCTTATATCTGGAAACAAACTGGCTGACTGTGGCCATTGTCAGGGCTGTTCACAGATATTCTGGGTTTCCTGGTAGAGATGTGGTATGATTGCAGCTTACCTTCAGGTGAGTGTGGCCACATGATTTCTTTGGCCAACACAATGTGGAGGGCAGTGGCATGTGCTGCTTCTGG